ATACTTATGAATAATCTATCTCTCGTGCATCGGAGATTAACTATTCATAAACATTCCAAATACCATTTATCATAATCTAGGGTTTACTATCATAGATAAAATGATATGCGATTTCTTATTTTGCGCATTTTCAATTTGCAATAATTATCTATAATGATAAAAATTAAACCAACTTGATGAATAACATTATTCAGTGAAGTTTTGACAGTTTAAGTTATTTGTATATCGCAATGAAATATTCGTTTACTGGCATTGAATTTTGGGACAAAAATATAAATAAAAATTTTACACTTTTTAATATTTTGTAAAAGTTGTTACGATGTTGAAGATCTGTGAATACACAAATTACAAAATACTTTTATGTTACCACTCAAGTAAACCTTATCCTTATAAAACCATTTAATATGCCTATTGGATATAAATACATACCCATTTATACTTCTTAAGTTAAAATTAAAATGGAATTGTTGTTCTAAAAAATATAATTTTATATACTCTTTTATAAATACAATTTGTGAACTTATAGTTAAAATTTTATTTGTGTTAATTACTAGGTCAATAAATTATGTTAGAGGTTTTTACTAAAGCTATTTTAAAGCATGCAATACTTATGATTAAAACTCAATAGTTGATTAAGAATAGAATTGTAATTAAAAACCATCATCCAATACCCAATTAAAGAAATTAATGACATTAACATATGAAACTTGTTGCACTAGAGTCTATTTACATGGATGCAAATTTGGCGAATTCTATAAATCTATAATCAGAAAGCATAAATATTCGTGAAATAAATTTGTACTTTATCAATTTACATTATGAACTGTTTGGTTGTAAAGTAACTATTAACGTATTATGCAAATTGTTTTGAAACACAACTAAAAGATAAATTTCGCCAGGTATTTTATTGAACTAACGTCTGTCAATTATTCTACAAAATGAATTAGTACACAATTCTAAGTAAATTATTCACTTCAAACTTACTTGTTTTCTCAAACTAGTGCATTAGATTGATTTAATGCATTTGCATATTATTCTGAAACCCGCTTTAATAAGTCTAAAACACACTCTTAATATAAATCAAAAACTAACTACAAAGATAATGAAGCCATGTTTTCTCGCAATCTAAAGACCGATGTAACAGATGGTAGTACATTTTCACGTCGTTAAAGCATGAATATTGTTGCTTTCAAATGATAAAATTTGCACGCGTAGAGACAATGAGGAAAAGGACGTGAAGCAATGTAACGAGATATTGGGCCAATAATGGACACATATATTAATTGAAAGACACCTTCTATGTCAGGTACCAATCAAGCACCCTGTTCGCCAGAGGGTTTGTATGTGATTTGGGTAAATTGGAGTTGGTCGGACAGCGTGCGAAGTTACATTGGGCTTAATTGATTTTCAAGCAACGAAGGTAAGGAAGTCCCGAATGACTCTGTCAGTTAACCTGCTTAATGTGAAGAAGGTTTCAATTTATTTAAAAGGATAAGGGAATTAAATTCTAATCTAAGAGTTTTTTATGGAGAACTGCAAACAATTTATGAAATTTTATAAATATATTCTATTATATACATATCATATACATATTATAAATACATTGTATTAGATNATATATATATATATTATAAATACATTGTATTATATACATATACAACAAAATAAATAAGTACAAGAAAACACGAAGAAAGTTAAGAAAAACAATGTGTTTCATTTATTGCGCATAAGCTGCAAGTATATGCGCAATTAGATAAGTTCGAAATGAAGATAAAACAAAGCAAAATTATAGACATATGAAAAAGGGGGGGGGAATAATAATGGAAAAAAAAATAGAAATAACAAACAACTGATTTTTAAAAAAAAGGATTAAATTTTTTTTAAAAAAACCGGAAAATAAAAGATATAATCTTTTCATCAGCCCACACGATCATATCCGCAAAAGAGAGTGCTTTCTGATATTGTATCAATGTAGCCAAAGCAAAATATTAATACAATAGTGTGAGGAGCACACAAAGAAAAATTTTACAAAAATTACAACAAATAAAATAGAACACAATAAGTAAAAATAACACGTAAAAACAGAAAATTAAATAAAATAGAAAGAAAAAACAGTATAAAACATAGACTATAAAGCGAGTAGCGAAATCAGATGTCATGGACGGGAATTTTTTCAAGAATTATTTAAAAATGTTTTCACAACAAGATTGCCAGATTACAAAATATGAAAACAAAAGCGCAAATTGAGTGTAACTAGAGGAATTTAAAGTGCCGTTCTTACTGCAGTGCTGAAGTATAATATTACCTTGCTCCCCTCCATTTCGGGCCCATCCTTGGTAACTAACAAATCAATGCACAGCATAACAAATCACATTTTTTATTGTAAAAGTAATTCTAATCATAAGAACTTACAGTAGGAAAAAAATTGAATAAACTATGTCCATGCCAGGAGGCGCTCTTGTGAAACTTTATAAAAAGCGCTGCCTTCACCTGAAATACACCTTTTGGCAAATAATATGCCATTTTTATAACTGCAGTGAGCTTGCAGCAGTTATTTAGGACTGTTTAGTCCCATATTTCAACAATGCCTTTTTCTTGCTAATTTTAAAAATGAAGCAAAACGTTAGTATGAAGAAAAGCCGCAGTTTTGTGAAAATGAAAAGCATTTAAAGATAGTATACATAATTTAAAATAATAGCTTAGAGTTATGGTAATTGATTTATGGCTTTTCTATTTTTCTATGATAAACATGATCAAAAAACAATGTTAAACAACATAAGGACACCCAATTTACAGATAAGTGACTAGTAATATAGATTATCATGATTGCGCTAAATAGCGCTTTATACTGCTAAATTCGGTTATTTTTTACGATATAATAGTAAAATAAAGATCAATATTCATTGCTCAGATTTATTCTAATTTCTAAATGCTGCCGAAATAAAATATTTCACTCAGGGAAGTTTCATTCAGGGAAATCACTTAAATATCATGCCAATATGTACAGTATTGCGATAAAAAGGAACACCTTCAGTCTCTATTAGTACAGATAATATTTTCAGCTACGAAAATAGATACAAAAAACTCACTTTCTCTGGATAAATTTACCTTTTTTTACGACATATTTGCATTCCTGACCCTCAAACTGGGAGGGGAGTAGCTACTATCTGAAAAATATAGTTCTATAATAATTTTGTTTTCAGAGCTGTCGTAAGTTTAGCACCCTTAATGTTAATTTTACTTTTTGCATATTTCGCCATATCTCTTGATAACTTGTTAAGTGAATCAAAAAATATTTGCACACAATTATAAAATTCGTTTATCCAGAAATAATTTCCTGCAAAAAATATATATATTTTAGTAATTATTTATTGTTTATATTATTTTATTTATTAATAGGCGAATTGTAAGGTTAACAAGTTTTTACATAATTTAGAAGAATGTTAAATTATTTAATGGCAAAATGCAAAATTTGAATGAAGTAAGTCGGAAAGGAAGCATGCGCTATCCAAAATCCTAGAACTGGCACTTTACTGAATGAATGTTTACTCTTTACTTCGCGGAGATAAAAAAGTAACCAAAGTTTATTACTTGTATTAAATAAAAGTAAACCATAATTTTGGTTATACGCGTAATTATTCGGAAACTGGATTTAAAAAAATTTCCAAGAAAATAATGTCTTTATAATTGCAACAATTTTACATATTTAAGATACTTTTTTCAAAGTGCCTTTAAATATTTATACTAAAATTGATAATTTAGCCTAATCATGAAGTTAGAATGCTAGTCTAGCGAGTATCACTTGAACCGTTAAGATTATATTCTATCAGTTACACAATAACCTCTCTAGTGATACGAACTAATAGAGAAGCGCACTATCCTTTATATAAATCCAGTCGTGATGCTTCTTAATTGTTAGAAGAAAATTACCATGGCCATTTATTGGTATCAATATTAAGTACTTTTCCCGTAAATTTTACTATAAAAGTTGAATAGTGCAATAGTTACTTCATTTCATAACAATATTTACATCAAAAATTTCCTTAGTTTTTTTCGGTGTATATGCAGAACAAAATAAACTTCAATGAAGAAAAAAAATTTGCCGTCAGAAGTTAACATTTTTTTTAATCGTTTTTAATATTTGTCTAAGGAATCTGTGCAGTGACGTATCACAAAACAAAAATTTTTAATTTGAACTCTGCAAGCTGAATAACCACGTAGTCTTTTAATCGGTCCGACATTCAATTTCTTTTCAATTGTTTTTCTTTTTTTCCATTTAGTTTTTTTTATTATATAGTTCTAAGTTGATCTACTTATTCTTTTCCCAATTAAGTGTAACTTAAATGTTTATATAGTCTTTCATTTTATATCTTACAATATGATTTTTATGTTGTTAGATATATTCTGTTGAGAATTCCATTATGTATATAAAGAAGAAAAATTTTTTTTAAATAAGTAGAGAAAAACTCATTTTTTAAGTACCGAATTTTATGCAATTTCTTATTAGCCAAATAATCATTATCTAAGATTTTTATTTCCTTTATAGGAATTTTGACATTCATTTCAAAGTACCAGGGATTATAATGAATAAAAATAAAAAAATTATTTTCAATTTCTGTTTTGAATTTGAACTTTTTCATTTTGCTTTACTTTACATTATTTTATTTATTTATTTATTTATTTATTTATTTATTTATTTATTTATTTATTTATTTAAAAGCAAATTGATGAGTGTTGCTTTTTTCTCCACTTCATCAAATTATAATTAAAACTGAATGAAAAACAGTCACCACTTATTATAAAGAGCAATTCACTTTTTTCTTTTTTTCTCTTTGCTATTTTTCAATAATCGAGCCATTCATCAAAAGAACAGAGAATTAAATATTAATTTAAGATTTGATGATTTTAAAAACTAGTAAATATTTAATCCCTATTAAAGATTTGATAATTATTTTCTATTTGTTCTCAATTAATCCTTAGTTTTCTTTTGTATATTTTAGTGTGACATGGCCACAAAAACCTTGACAGTTCCAGTTGCCCCAGGTAGTTCATGTAATGGAGCTCTCAATTCAAGACAACTGGTTCAACTAACCGTTCTCTATCCACAAGGGGGAATTATAGGATGGAAAAAACGAACGTTATACATTCTTCTTATTCTCTTGGTTTCTGTCGTTGTCATTAATATGACCCTAATACTATGGATAATCAAAATTCTGGACCTAACTTCGGTCAGTATTTATCATGTATGAAAATTTTCAATTCAGAACCAGTTTGAACAAAGTCAATGTATGTGTGTGTTTTTCTTTAAATGAGGATGGAGTATACACTGTAAAAGATTCCGGGTCAAACTACAGTAAGAGTACTGGCACCCTTGATCCGTGAAATTAATTTTACCGCAAAATTTTCGACTGCATATTTTACTGCAATAATTATTTAATTAGAGTGATTCAGTGATTTTACTATAAATATTACGGTAAAAATTACAGTGTATCATATCGCTTCTTAAAATTTCACCGTCATTTGATCCGAAATTTCAGTGTATTTCACACCACGTATGAATAGAACCGAAAACAATTGGAATAAAGAACAAATAAATGTATATGAACGGGCATACTATAGTTTCGGCTTTTTAAACCGAAGCCATCCTCAATATCGAAACACAAACAAGTATGATAGTAAAAAAAGTAACGAGATTGTTCTCCTTCCTTTATTTGATAATGCACTTTGCATTCATTCCTTTTTAAACAGTCATTTTGTGTTATGACACTGAGGAAGGTTTTTGTTTATAGAACTGAATTTATGCTCGTTCACATTCATTCATTTGAGGTTTATTCACGTTTTTTTTACCTATTCATATACGATAAAAAATTACTTCAATAGAAACTTTAAGTTTAGTTTTACTTTATATTGCTAAATGCAAAATCAGTTTAAAACCTTTTTCAAACAAAACTAACAAAAAATGTGTTGTGTCACGTAAATAAAACTCCCAAAAAATGATATTTTCCTTGTACCCAACTCAAAACTCTTAATTTATTAAACTAAATTAATTATTATAGCATATACTTTTTTGCTTAATTAAAACATGAAAAAAATACTAACAAGAGTTTATTTAATTTCAAGAAGAATTTAGAAAATAAATTAGTGACCTCAAACAATTAAACAGTAATATGAACATTAAAACGTTGTCTTAAGTAACAGAGCTTTCTGAAATCTTTCAAACTTAATTTATTTATTGTAAATATTGTAAAATAAATAAAAGTTTCATGAAACAAAAAAAACGCGAAATTTATTTGTTTACATTACTTCCTGATAAATACTTCCTACTTTATTGTAATACTTAATAAATATTTATTTAATTTAATTATCAATGAATTCTTCTTTGTTTCACAAATTATTCTAGTCATTAAGATGCTTATTTACTCTAACTATGTAGGTTTTAAATTAATACTTATGTATATTTAGTGTTTTGAATAAAATGACATGATTGGTTAAAAATGCTTGATAGTCTAGATCCAGTAAATAGCTAATTTTGGAATTCTTTTATGATCGATAACAGTTCTATAATTAATTAGATACCTTATTTTTCTTTTTAAACTTAAAAAAAATCATGCACATTACAAAATTTTCTAATAACAAACAATGTATTATTAGAAACATAATTACCAATGTCTATTTCTAAAAGAAATATTTATTTCTGATTGATTACGATTATTAATGTTTGTTTCAATTTTTGATTCTTTTCATGTTTATTTCTGAAATTCTGAGACGTTTATTTTATTACGTTAACAGCTTTTACTTTTAAAAATTAAGCTCCGTATAGATGAGTTTTTTTTTTTACTTTGTTGCGCACAAGAAAGAATTATTACGAGCAACAGTATAAAACTTTTCAAAATTTAACCCAAAATATACACTTTCAAAAGCAATAACTTCAAAAATTCCACTTCTCATCAAATCTTCCCATCAAATTTAAATTTTCAAACAATAAAAACATAATCCCATAATTCTCCTTCGAATAAATGACGCCAATGAATTCCAAAATTCAAGAAATTTCTTCCTTTGATTAGATGATACAATTCCTAAAATGTTGCTACGTAATATATTCTTGGAGGAAATAAAAACAAGCCCTCCTTTACGGAGGCCACAATTAATGTCAAAGAAAACTATAGCTGCAATTGTTCGTCACTCAATACATAAGGTTAACGGATACTTTGGCGATTTTCCTTCCTTATCGGTCTCACACCGACACTAGATAACCATAATAGCCTTGGCGCTTTGAAATTTATCGACATTCCTCAAATTAAGTTCGCCAAGGACTCTGTTATCAGAGGATGATATGCGAGACAATTTAGAATACTTGCATGACTTTTTCTTCATTGGTTATTGATCCGAAAAACGGTAATGTCAGATACTGACTTAAAGTATTGAGTTTTAACTACCAGATGCCACAAAATGTTTTTTTTTTAAATTTTATGTTGTTTCTTTTTTACCTTCGATACTTCCGGAGTTGAAAAGGATTGCTGTTTCATTTGAGTAATTGTATTGTTCCTTTTTTGGCTCTTGTTACTTTATTTTGTTCGAAAATTATTCTGTTTTTGGTTTTTAATCAGGTGATTGGAATTTTATTCCTCAAAGAATTAAAAAAGGGAAATTTGAATAGCATTGATTCTTTTTATTTATTTTTATCACTATTATTACTTTTAGAGCACTTNATACTTGCATGACTTTTTCTTCATTGGTTATTGATCCGAAAAACGGTAATGTCAGATACTGACTTAAAGTATTGAGTTTTAACTACCAGATGCCACAAAATGTTTTTTTTTTAAATTTTATGTTGTTTCTTTTTTACCTTCGATACTTCCGGAGTTGAAGAGGATTGCTGTTTCATTTGAGTAATTGTATTGTTCCTTTTTCGGCTCTTGTTACTTTATTTTGTTCGAAAATTATTCTGTTTTTGGATTTTAATCAGGTGATTGGAATTTTATTCCTCAAAGAATTAAAAAAGGGAAATTCGAATAGCGTTGATTCTTTTTTTTTATCACTATTATTACTTTTAGAGCATTTAACGACACTTTACTGCTTTGCTTAAGAGGAGTCTGTTCTACTTCCGACAATACCTATATTAAAATAGCCAAGTTTGGCGTACCTTTTCTATAAAAAAATTTTTCAGTTTTCAAAAACATTTTTGTTTATTTAAAAATTAAACACTAGAATCTGTGGCGGTAAGATATTACTTGATTAAGAACTTCATTCACTTCAAAAATATACAAATTGGAAATAAAATACGGCATGTCTGAAGCTCCAAAAACAGGTGCCCATTTTCAAGACTTGCCAGATGTTAATGAAAGGAAACTTAAGTGATTTGAAAAATAGTGATTGAAGTTTACGTTCTATATTTTAAATCACTTTTCTTCTCATTCATGTCTGGCAAACCACGGAAATGGACGCCTGTTTTTCAGTGCCTGAATTCCAATTTGTATATTTCTGAAGCGAATGAAGTTTTTAATCAAATAATTCTCGTTTATTCATTTTATGTCTTAACATGTGCCATTTTTCAAAACTTAGACTATTTGAGTTTAAGAATTTCCCTTTAGAAGTAAAAGAATATTGTCATATAATTGAATTTAAAATATATAAAAAAACGAAGATAAAGCAAAAGAAAAACGCCTTGGAATAGCACTATAATAAGTGAACAAAAATATCTTCGAGTAATATTGCTTATAAACTCCAAACATTGCATACAAGTAGTCACGTAACAAGTAAAATAAAAGCATTATTTGGAAAATTGATTCACTACTTTCTTAGTAAAGGCACATCTAAATTTAACATGATCTGAGTTAGAACATTTAGATTTCTTTAAGAATGATAGACTATCAAAGAGGATTTATTATGAGTGAGAGATAAAAAATAACGTGCTATCTGAGAAACTGAAGAAGAATGTTTAATTTGCTTTCGGACATCGCTTTAGTTCTTATCACGATAAACACATAGCTATAAGAAAATGTAGTCATCCAGTGAAATTTGGTTTAATCTTATGCATTTCTATTAGCAACATTCATTATCATATTTATGATATTTTTTAATGACTCTTAAACAGTTGCTAGAATACTATGAATTCTGCGTGCCGAAAGGTGGCATATAATATCGAAAACAATTAAAGTAGAAAAAAATTTATTTGAATAAAATACTCTTTTCATTTCATTTGTAGTTTTAATTACAAATATAATTCAAATTAAAACTAAGATGCTACCCAAACCATTTATTAACTACCCAAGGTAGATGAGAATAGGTTGTTAATAACGTTCTTGATATTGAAAAAGAATTTTAAGTTGCGTAAAAAAACTTTTAAAATAAGTTTCTGGTAAATGAAGACAGTTTCTGGAAAATAAAACTTTTGTGGATATTCGGTGATTATGCGGTTTTTCGCATCTTTCCAGAATTCATAGGATACAAGCTATTATCAATAATACTAAATAAGCATTTCAGTGAATCAGAAAATGTCACCTATCAAACAGTGAACCGTGTTGACTCAAGAGCGTTCGCCTTCCAATGAGGTGAACCGGGTTCAAATCCCAGCGAAGGCTGGTCAATACGAACTCCGCACTCGGCTCGCACCGATCATAGTGCTACCTTAAAGTATCCGCAGTGGTAGACGGATCATGGGTTATAATCTCCTTACCAGGTTTTCATGATTTACCTCTCTATGTAACGCAAATGAGGATTAGTTCCATCAAAAAGTCCTCCATGAAAGCGCAATTCTCCCAATACTTGAATCAAGAGCTCCCTTTTCTTCTGTATTGGGTTGAAAATTACAAGACTACGGAGTTAAACTTTAGTAGTCATAAATCCAAATTTGAGTCGGCAGTTCAACAACGGTTTAACAAACGATCATAACACAACAATAGAATTTCAAACTTAATTTCCTAAAATCCCTACGATTAGTTACATGGAAAACACATATTTGATGTTAAATAAAGTTAAACACCATGAATGGAGCAAAAATAATGAAAGAAACTTTCTACTATCTTAATATATCGAGCCGCGATGCTCCAGCGAGGGATAGAGCGTTCGCCTTCCAATGAAGTTAACCGGGCTCAAATCCCAGAGATGGCTGGTCGATACGAATTCCGCATCCAGCTTTCACCGACCACAGTGCTGACGTGAAATATCCTCAATGGTAGACGGTTCATGGGTTGAAGTCGCCTTGCCGTTAGGCTCAGCTGGTTTTCATCTCCACGTAACGCGAAAGCGAGATAGTACCATTAAAAAGTCCACCACAAAGGCAAATTTCACCCGATACTTGATCCAAGAGTTCCCTTGTCTTCTGTATTGGGTTCAAAATTACAAGGCTACGGAGTTGGACATTCGTAGTCGTAAACCCGAAAATTGGCTCGACTGCTCAATGGCGGTTTTTAAATAAAACATATCAAACAGAAGTCCTAAGTTGATATCTCATCCGTGACAGTTTATTTCTCTCATTTTGTCAACACCCAATTAAAATTTCGTCAACACTATATTTTCAAAGCCTAGATCAAAAGAACTGTAAAATTTCTTACTGAAAATGAACAAATTCGTAGGATTGCTGTTAAAGAATCAATACTTTCAACTTATCTCAAAACAACAGTTAAAAAGGAAGAACCTTTCCCCTTAACAACACGCTCAATTTTTATCTAAAATCGACCGAACAATCCCCTGGTTCCAATTTTTCTTCAACTACATCCATCATTCCCATCTATTTTTTTAATAAAAAAAAACTATAAAACAATGAGACCGTTTTGAAACTATGAAACCGTTAACCTGCAGTTTCTGGCCAAATTATTAGACGCATTATGAGATTCTATGTAAAATATTAATTACTCAGGTGATACTCTATACAGCTTTATTATTTATACACGAGTGAAACCGGTTTACACTGTTTACTTTTGTNATATAATTCAAATTAAAACTAAGATGCTACCCAAACCATTTATTAACTACCCAAGGTAGATGAGAATAGGTTGTTAATAACGTTCTTGAAATTGAAAAAGAATTTTAAGTTGCATAAAAAAACTTTTAAAATAAGTTTCTGGTAAATGAAGACAGTTTCTGGAAAATAAAACTTTTGTGGATATTCGGTGATTATGCGGTTTTTCGCATCTTTCCAGAATTCATAGGATACAAGCTATTATCAATAATACTAAATAAGCATTTCAGTGAATCAGAAAATGTCACCTATCAAACAGTGAGCCGTGTTGACTCAAGAGCGTTCGCCTTCCAATGAGGTGAACCGGGTTCAAATTCCAGCGAAGGCTGGTCAATACGAATTCCGCATCCAGCTTGCACCGACCACAGTGCTGACATGAAATATCCTCAGTGGTAGATGGTTCATGGGCTAAAGTCTTCTTGCCGTTAGGCTTAGCTGGTTTTTATCTCCACGTAACGCAAAAACGAGTTAGTACCATTAAAAAGTCCACCACAAAGACAAATTTCACCCAATACTTGATCCCTTGTCTTCTGGATTGGGTTCAAAATTACAAAGCTACGGAGTTGAATATTCGCAGTCGTAAACCCAAATATTGGTTCGACTGTTCAATAGTGGCCATAAAATAAAACCTATCAAACAGAAGTCCTCTAAGCTGGTATCTCATCCATGCCAGTTTATTTCCCTTATTTTCTCAACACCCAATTAAAATTTCTTCAACACTTCATTCTCAAAACCTGGATCAAGAGAACTGTAAAATTTCTTAATGAAAATGAACAAATTCGTAGAATTGCTGTTAAAGAATCAATACTTTCAGCTTATCTCAAAACAACAGTTAAAAGGGAAAAACCAATGCCAACAACACGCTCAATTTTTATCTAATATCGACCAAACAATCGCATCTATACAAGTCCCCTGGTTCCAATTTTTCTTCAACTACATCCATCATTCCCATCTATTTTTTTAATAAAAAAAACTATAAAACAATGAGACCGTCTTGAAACTATGAAACCGTTAACCTGCAGTTTCTGGCCAAATTATTAGACGCAGTATGTGATTCTATGTAAAATATTAATTATCAGGTGACAGCTTTATTGTTTATACACGAGTGAAACCGGTTTACACTGTTTACGTTCGTGTATCAATTAGTTAACGTAATAATGCAATACGTTAAAAAATAAACACAAACACGGGAAGTAAAAAATCTCCAGAATAAAAACCCATTACATGCATGTTTAAATATAAAAATATTGCATATAAACACGCACAAAACATGCAATTATTAAAACACTACAGTGAGTCAAAAAATTTGGTCTAATTATTATAATATACTAATAATAATATATCATCTGATTTATCGAATCGTCGATATATTATATAAATTTAACCAAATGATGCACGAACGTAAGCAAGTGCAAACTGGTTTCAGCCGCTCAAAAACAATAAAGCTGTATGGTACGACCTGATAATTAAGATTTTACCAAGAATCCTATAGTGTGTCTAATAAATTGACCGGAGACTGTGTCACCAAAACCTTTAATCTTATTAAAAGATATGTAAACTTCATTTTTATATATTTATCTGTTTATGTAATATGTAGTTTTTTTTTTAAATAATAATCACATAGCATGCGTAACTGTCCCGGTAAATTATTTTCTCTTCAGTTTTGTTGCTTTTCACTTCTAAGGGAAAAAAAGTAATATACCGAGAAGGCACAACACTAAGGAAGTCTCAAGATCAAAAAGTTTGATTATGAGCAAAATTTGGTGTAAAAAAAATTATGCAATTATGAAACTCAGTATAAAGTCTTATCTTTTGATATTCTATCCTTCGTTTTGTCCGGTGAAGTTGCGTCGTTAAAGAATTTTGTTCTCGCGACAGTATGTCTTCCGGGTGCTTCCACCATACACAATTCTATGCATCTCTATACATAATATTTCTATACATATGGATATAAAATATTATTTTCAAATTTTTAATAAACTTCTGGCCTACTTTTAAAAGAAGATATGATACACCGAGAAAAAAGTAGGGCCAAAACTACCAGAATGTGGTAAAACTAACCGTGTTTTTTGGCTCTTTGGGAACACCAAAAATTCCGGTAATTTTTGAGGAAGAACTTTGGTAATAATTTTGGTAAAATCAAAAATAAAATAGGTTTAAATTACTTGATGAATTTTGGTAAGTGTGGTACATTTTGGTACTTTTACCATGAAATCATAGAGAATGACGTAAAAACCATTTAATCGGTAAATCTTACTACTCAGTTTTGTATTTTTTGCTAAATGAGTGATAACAAAAACTATAATTTAAAAACCAGAATTTTTTATTAACCTTTTCCATACGAATAGAAAAATTACCAAAACTTATGTTTTAAATACCGAATGTTTTTGATTTATTATCAGAATTAGGGTGTTATTTTTACAAGAAATATCATTACGACACAGTATGGTAATTTTACCAGCATTTTTTTCTCCGTGTACTACGGTGGGCTTCTAAATCAAGTCAATAATTTGAAACATCCTGAGTTGAAATTGTTGCTGTTAATCTCTCAAAAGCATTGTCAGTAATTTGAAATTCAAGAAAGTTGTTTTGTCTGAAATTCGCCACATACAAGATTTCTTTTTTCAAAGAATATTTTTTATTATAACTTTTTATTCAAAACTACAAGACTTAAAGATGTAAAAACAGTATTGTATATTGCTATCAACCAATTTAAGTCAGGTCATTTTCAAGATAAATTTTTATTTACAACTTTTGTGTCAGTTATATTCGCTTAAATTTTAAACATTAAAATTATTTTCCGTTTCCTTTTGATCTAGGAAGGCCCTGGAAAAATACGCCTTTTGGATAAAGGTCTACAGTTATATAGTACAGTTGAATTCTTGGATTCATTGAGTGGAAAATATATAATTGTTGACCCTGTAAGTATATTAAACTTAATTAATAAAATGAAATTATAATAAGAACTTTAAAAATTAGAATTATAACTTTTTTTGTGTTATCATGAATAGCTTAATATTTCTATTTAATAATTATTTATGAACTGAAAAACCAAAGCTCCACTTAAAAATCTTGATTTATAGTTTATATTCAAAAAGAAATTTATCTATACATCTATCCATAATAATAAACGCGGCTGTGTGTGTGTCTGTCTGTAATCACAATATATCGCCCCAGAAGCCTCGCCCAGGCACGAAACTCGGCACATAATTGTGTTTTGACATAATGAAGAAATTTTTTTTTTCAAAAATTTGGGTCAGTTTTTTAGTTATCAGTCATTTTGTAAGAAAATCTATGCTTTTTCGGCTTCAAAGAGCCATATTCAAAAAACTATTAAAAAATGCATATACTTTTCTTCACTCTTATAAATGTATGCTAATGCGAACCTTACAATCGAAATATTAATTTTCGACAACTTAAACCAGTAATATACGAATCAATTAATAATTTAATTGTAAGGTTCACATTAGTTTACATTTATCAAAGTGGAGAAAAGTTTAACTTTTGTATTAAAAATGTGGCAACATATTCGATACGTAAATAGAACGCTTCGCTTTGATATATTTGTCGCTGTTCATAATTGTTATAATAAGTTTTTCTTCTTCTTTCCACGCTCTATTTTTTTTTTTCTTAAGCGAAGACGATAATTTTTGTAGCGATATAGAAATAGAAATTGATACCATAAAAAATTGTATAGAAATAGAAATTGATACTATAAAAAATTAATTCGTTTTCGTGTTCTTTTCATGTATTTAGCATTTTAGTTTTTTTTCTTAAGCGCTGTTTTCTGAGGCCTTTTTTTTAAGAAAAAAAAACAAGTCTCCACCTGATAGTTATATTATAGGTTAGGTTACCATAGGCCTTAGGTTACCATAGCAAAGTTGCATCTTCAAACATCCTCAAGAACTATAACGCATCTGCAGCAGAACTGGATATGAAGACAAAATTGCAGGACAGGAACACTTTAACTGTCCACTAATCTTCAAATTTCCTGCTATGTTTTAAAAAACTTTATTTGTGAAAACCTTTAGCGTGGCGGACAGCTGGCCGCCTTAGGCAGCTAGTTTTTAATAAATGCATTGTTGAATTATTTTTATTGAAGGAGGAACTAAAAAATTTTCAATTTTTATTAAAAGAGTGAATAAGCAATAAAAGAACTGAAAATTTTAAGCAATTAAAAACATTTGAATAATTCTTAAATCAATACTGTTATTTTGTGTCAATATATAATATTAAATTTCAATTGTTCAATACGAATTTGCTCATGCTCTGTAAAAAATGGATGTCACCTTAAAAATATATGAAAAACAAATAGAACGGTGAGGTAAATTTCCCTTCTGCTCGAAGCGAGATTCGAACTCGAGTTCCTCCTGCTACGGGGCAAATTCCTTGCCCACTACACGACCCGGTCAGCTTTTTTTTCTTTTTTTTTATCATCTAGTCTTCTGCTAGTTTTATTCTAGTTAACAATCTCCCACACAATGCACTACTATGAGGTTTCCAGTTGAGGATACATTTTTACCATTTACTTGAGAGTTCCCGTTTCGTCATATACCACGTGATTTCATGACGAAATAATTCTTATAATTAACGAAATATAGCTCCTAAGATTGCTGAATCATCAAAATCGAGAGTTTTATTTCTGAGAGTGAACGGTAGAGAACGAGTGAACATTGTATAATGAATCAGGAGTAATCAACAAAAAGAAGAGCAATTCTAGCTCTCACAAACACCAAAATAGTTCTGGAATGGACTGTCATGAAACACAAATAAGTTATAAACCTAAATAAAGAGTTAAAATTTAAATTCATTACATAAGCTGTTCATTAGTTCATTTGCTTGATCTTCTATTGGTAGCAAGCAAATATTTATATTTTCTAATATGAAGAATTGTTGGTTTTATACTTGCTTGTTATTCAATATTTATTTAAGCATTTTTTTAAAATTATTATGCACTTTAAATTCTCATAAATATAGTATAACTTTATATTAATTAACCCAAAGCTAAAACAAAACGTATAGTATATATATTCCACTTCATGCCTGCTTAATTAATAATAACTAAACAACAAAAAATGCTTACATTTGAAGAAAAAAAACTAATTAATGATTTTTTGACAAATTTTAATCAAAACACTGCTTGCGGGGAAATTCAAAACAAACGAACCACTTTTATTTTTAAATTCTCTGTCGGAGTTTACCATCATCTAATAAAAGTGTATTCTTTTCCGTTTCTTATTATCTGTAAATACTTCAACTAAATGCCTTGTGTTTTTTCTCAAATAAAATCGAATACATTCCCTAATTCTTTTTTTTTCTCGTGACATCTCATCGCCTAAAAGGTATAAAACTCAAGGTAAAGATCAAACGGTGTATCTTACCAATTAAAAGTGTTTTGAAAATGTTATTTTCTGAAAGTACTTGAGTTGACTTTTGGCAAAAAAAAAGAAAAAGAAAGGGAAAACTGTAAAGAGTACTTTCTTCTCTTTTTTTTCGGATGAAACTTCCTTTTATTCTGATGAAACTTTTTTCCGGTTTATTTCTGTCTGTTGCCAACTATCGTCTGATATCTTTACTTTTTAAGTTACGTTACTCCAAATCTTTTTTATATTACAAACAGATATTTTTTAGCAAATTTTAATGCATAAACAAAAAATATATAATATAAAAATGTGTTATTTTTTTATAGTTTAATGAATTTTAAATACATATTTTTACAAACAAAGAGAATATGAAAAACTTAATCAACAGCTAATAATAATACGCCATTTGTTTGAACTCGCACTACAAAAAAGTTACTGAAAGATGTTTTTTTAAAAAAGCATATGTAATTTTGAAGAATAAAAAGAATGTTTAAAAAGAAAATTAAATGATTTTACATAAAAATAACAGTAAAGATATTATTTATTTGAATGTAAAAAATTTGATATAATTGTTTTAAAAATTAATAATATTTTGAATTTGATATTGTTTTTATTTAAGCTATTTTTTTGTGTTTTATGTTTCACATTTATTTCTCATTTGCATTTTATGCATAACTCTTTTAATTTGCAAATAAATTATCTCAATATTTGAATCCACTCAGCAAACGTGTTTGTCCTGTAAACTAATTAACATTAGATTCAATTGTTATTGAATAAAAGAGTGAAAATAACCTACCTTTATTTAAAAAACACCACTTACTTATCATTGTTTCGGTTAACTTCCTTCAAAAACAGAGTAGACATATACGAAATGTTCCATAACTACCCCCATTGAAACATATTTTTTAATAAAAATTATGCTTTATGAAACATAAATATATTTTTTAAAGTATAAAACACAATTAGCATAATTTTAGGGATAAACTTCTATCACCACCGAAAAGTGATGCCCTGTAAAAAATGGATACTTAATAGATTTAACTTTCTTCGATTTCGACAAAAACGTTTCCTCGTATATGCACCGAACAAAAATTTAAAGATAAATAATTATCCTTATTTCCTCGAGGAAATTGATTTCCTTATAATTAAAGAAATATTTCGTCATTCTACTTTTTTTTCCAAAAAAAAATATCTCGTCGTACGTAATGTATCTGGATTTTCAATTTGTTTCTTAACATGGCCACCATGTAGTTGTAACAACACAACAAAGATAGATAGAACACAGAGATAAATTATACCCATGCCCAAAGCAGGATTCGAATCCCAAATCTTCCTGGTACAAGGCTAAATCCTGGACCACCATGCATTCCGGTCGTCTTTATTCGCCACTTTGTTTTCAAGAGTCTCTATTCAAGCATGGTCATTCAAGTTATCAATCTCCTACAATGCACTACAATGAGGTTTCATGGCGAAATGATTGTCAAAATTTACGATTTCATACTACTCAATGATTAAATCGTCTGAATCTTCAAAACTCCAAAATGTGCTTCTGAAATTTTACTACCTATTTTCATTTCAGTATCTTTTTCATTTTAGTTTTTTTTTTAATAAAATTATGTTGTTTTTTTTATTCCTCTTGAAAACCTCAATTCAAAAAAGATTTATTTTATTTCAATATTTAATCTAAATGTTTATTTTTCTCAGAGTCAGCCATTGAAAATCGAATCTGATCGAAATGTTTCCATGCAAGCACGGAATAGTAGAGGATTCATTACAAATATCCTAAGTTTAGGTAACGTATATTATTGTTAAGAATTACATCTAAAAATATTTCCCTTTCCGTAAAAAAATTTTAGATAAATAATTATGCCACTCTGATGTAGGAGAAGCCGGTTTACAAGCTATTGGAAACTATTTCATCATCCGAGACCCATCCGATAATGTACTGTTGCAGGTGGACTCTCATGATATGGTGGTTTCAGCCAATCACATGGTAGTATCTGGTAATGGAATATCTTTCTTTAGTTATTTAACTGAATTGCAATATTCCGTATAATTAGGTTAGTATATCAATTCAGATGAATGAACTATTTACTGATATAAAACAGAGTAATTTAGGTCTATAACATAATACTTTGAATTAATCTATTAGGTATTATTATATAACAGATTAATTTGTATCTTTTGCGTAGCATTATATTAATTTGTGTTTAATTTTTTGAATTCAAGACCCCAAAAATAGCTGATCAAGATAACATGATGATTTTATATAATTGACTTACCTGGTAATTAAATATATTTTTTCAATTAAAATGTATAATGAAAAACTTTGGATGTTGTATTATAAAATTACGTAAAATTAACACTTAAAGTGCATGTTCAGCAATACAAATTGACAAATGCAAATGAACCATAATTATCTTGATAGAAAAAAGTGTTAGCATTACGCTACATCATAATGCAGAAAATAACTTTTGAAGAGTTAATTTTAAACAGCATTAAAGGTAAAAATGCTGGCACTCTTATTGGTATTATAAACAAATGCCTTCATTAACGCTAAAAAACATAAAGAAGAGTAATAAGAAAATATTAAACGTAGAAAATTTTGTTTCAAGAGTTATATATGGTAAGGACATTTCTGGTATCAGAAAAAATAATAATTCAGGTTTTGAAATATATAATATGGTATTTAAACCATTTTTTTAACAATTTTTCCGTTAATATGGTAATGGTTTACCAGAAAATTTGATTCTCAAAATTATAATTCATTTATCACACGTTTAGTAACAAATACGAAACTAAAAAATTTATATAACTGAATAAATAGTTTTTATGCCAAGCTCTAAGATTTCATGATAAAATCTCCAAAATTTACCAAATTTTAACACACATTACGAAACTATAAATGTAATAGGTAAGTTTTACCAAAATCATTACCAAAGTACTCCGGTGAAAACCACCATGATTTTTAATGTCCCCATTGATCCAGAAACACAGTAAATTTTATCATTTTCTGGTATTCTTGACTATACTTTTTTATCAGTGTAAAACTAAGTACATTTTTAGTAATCATTGTAAAAATAGTGTGCCCCTAACAATAGTTTTATTCTACATGGTTCAGAAATTCTACATGAGTCCCAGTTCGCTTAAAGCTTTCATGTACATAGATCATGTTCGGCGTAGTCCTACTATTGTTGAAAGTTGAAACTTGTTTTATTAAATATTAAATTTTCTTAAACTTTGCCTGTGCAATACTTCAGTTCAATTTGAAGAGATAAATAATTCAATTTAATACCTTATTAAAAACGCAGCATATTTACACGGCATTGTTGCTTTAGGTATAGATATTAGACTTAAACTTCTAATAAATTTTTCTGAGATCGCAGTTTCAAATTATTAATTAGGAATCTTAACATGAATACTTCAAGAAGTTAGGTCGGTCGTATCTAAAATATTTTAAATTAGACTGAAAATTTTATTCTTCAAAACTTTTTTGTGCCTAATTTCTTTATTTAATTTTGTCTCTAAGTTTTTTAATTGAGGGTATTTTAAGCATTTCTTCACTTGGTCTTACAGTACTGTGGTTAAAACAATAATGCTAAATCATAATTTTCTTAAATGAGTTTCCGTTATTCACAACAAGCTCATTAAATTTTAATCACATTTATAATAGAATAATTACTCATGACTTAAATGTTTGAGTAACCACTCTCTCATATTGAATGTTTTGAGATATTTAATGACTAAATGAACTTACCAGAAAACTTAGTTATTTGTATGTGGCATCTTCATGGATGAAATATCTCATTCTTCAACTTGAACTCTAGTCTATTTAATCAAAATATTTCCTATGATAAAGAGTTGTATAGAAACTAAGTTGAGTTGCTGTTTTCAAATTATTTTATAAATGTTTGCATTTTACTTAAGCTTTCAGACCAATAAAGATGAGTAATGGAATAATAAAGCGTCATTTTTTTTAAATTATACAAAAAAAATTACTTATTTTTATTTATTTTAAATTATGCATTGTTGTTCTTACTCCATGTTAATTTACGCTCTTAGTAGCTGTAAAATGTTCTTAAATACTTTTAATAAAATTTTAAGCAACTCTTTACCTTACTTTACATAAGAATGGCTTGATTTTTGTTTGCATAAAACTGATGATAGTTTACATAAAGTGTCCCTTTGTTCAATTTCCCTCAGTCAGTAAAATATTTGATGTAAGCAATGATAAAGATTTTATTTCATGCAATTTTTTTAATGAAACCCAAAGTATTGCTTATTGTGTCCACAATACTATACTCGTAAAGAAATTAAAAATATTTTAAGAAAAAAATTAACTGAATTTTAGATCGTTTGTACGCAAATACTATAGACTTGTCACCCGTATGAAATTGATGATGCCGCAGCAGGTTTTTAAATTTATCGAGTTGTTGAAATTTTGAATTTCTACAGAGGGTTTTGCATAACTTTACCTGTTTGTGGTCTAGCATTAACTTACAACAAGATGAGTGTACAAAAAAATTTTTAGGAGCATAAGACTTGATTGCCTATCTGAATCTGGTTAACGTTTTTTAATACCACTGATCAGATTGTCCCCAGCTTCATAGCTTCAAGAAAATGACAAGGAGAGGTTCGTTGCGATTTGTCTCAAGTGAACATTGCTTCTAAAAAGAGATTGGCATCATTTATCACCCTTTAAACATTGCTTGCGTGCCATGCGTCGCCCTCTAACAAGCAAAAAACATTCAACTCCTACTCGGCACACCAGCAACTACACTTATTTTTCAAAACAGCATATTTCTGATTAAATGGCTTCTGTCTCGTTACGAATAGACTGTAATTAATAAATGTTAAAAAAAGAAAATATTAAATTCTCTAAATAATTAATAAATTTAAAAACAATAAAAGCATTAAATTTTCAACTAACCCTGTAGTAAACTCATCTTAAACTTTCCAATTATCTATCATAACTTGCAAATTATATCGTATACAATCTATCCATTTTCTTAACGTCAAGTATATTCCATTGTATGATAATTCGTATAGATCTTTATGCTAACGGTAGCTTAATAAAGCTTAAAAAGATTAAAAACATAATTAATTTTTCCTATTTTCAATTTAATTCAAAAAACATAATTCATCTTTTTGTGTTCTCGTTACAAGTATCCAAGCCTATTAGAATCTATGAAATATGAAGTATAAGAGAAAATTAGTTAATGTTGAAGAGAATTCACGTTAACGAGATTAAATTGTAATTTATCTTATACAAATATTTTCATTTTGCGCTTTATTTACTATTCCTTCATTATAAAATACTATTAAACAACTTAAACGAACTTTGGCATAGCTTTGTATAAACAATTCGATTTACAAACTTATAGTTGGAAATGTAGAAAAACACAATTTTTCTATTACATATGCTATTCTAATTTTCTTCAAAACAGTTATTTACTTTAACAAAGTTGGGTCAACTTCAATAACGATACAAACAATTTAATATCATTTCTGTATTAGATATTTAGTCAAACTAAGTAAGTCATAATATTCATTATTTGCAAGATTGTTGTTTACAATTTAATAACATAAATATGGAAAAAAATTTAATTCTGCATTGTATTAAATTTTAAAATAAAAGTAAAGCAAAATATTGTACTATGATATTGTTTAAATATACTTTACTTTATATACTTTAATAATACTTTATATGAAACCATTTTGAAAAACAAATTATTCCACAAAAATAATTTATTAGTTGTGCATTATGTAAACATTGAAAGCTCCTTTTCTTACATTTTCACTAAATTTCTAATAGAAAATAATGTTTTTAAAGTCTTATATACTATACTTCAAGATTTATAAATGCTAGAATTAATAGTTAAGTTTAGTTAATTTTTTAATAAATTCTTTTTTGTCTGTAGAATCTGGAGGATTTCGCTTGGATGGTTCATTAGAAACGCCTTTAGCTAGGGGAAGTGCAACAAAAGACCTTCGGTGAGTATATTATATACTATTCAAAACTTTCAAATGCTGTAAAAATTTGTAAAATCATGAGATTAAACTGCTTTAAATCAATAATTTCTCATTAACACTAATTTATAAATTTTTCAGTTCGCTTTAAAGGAGGGAAAATTAGCAATCAAGCATTTAATTTAAAATAAGATAAATATAAAATTTATAAAAATTTCTCACGTAATTTTAGATTTATTGGTTAATAAAAAAATCATAGAAACTTTTTTATAAATATTCAACTTTCAAACATATTCGTTTTTATTTCTCGCAAATACCATCAATATCATTCGATTTAAATAGATTTCTTTTCATTTTGTCATCTACATTTTTGCAGTTTGAACTTTTAAATCCGGTAAGAATTTCAGGTAAAAAAAATAATCAATAAAAGCGGTTAAAAAGGAATAATATTTTTAACTTCAGTTTTACTTCCTTTAACAGAAAAATTTTTAGCCTAAATCAGTAAAATTTCTCTTTTTTTAAAAAAAAAATGTCTAAAATAGTGTATTTATTTTAAAATAAAAGTATTATACCTTCTATGCAAAATATGGCATTAAATTGTTTATGGCATTAATTTAATAAAAATAAATATGGAAGGAAATGTATTCTACATTGAATTAAATTTTTAAGATAAAGTGAATGTACTATATTGCTTAAATATAAGCTAAACTTTGGTTTCATTTTAAATTTTACTTTAGAGTTGGTTTAATATTTTTATTCTAAGATTTTCGTTTTCGTTTCATGAAATTGGAAACGAAAAAAAAAACATTTTACATTACATTTACCAATGAATTCAGGACTTTATTCTTATTACTGCCAATGAATTCGTTGATTATTGTTCAATTGCTTGATTACTGCTTCATTAAAATATCTTAAACAATAAACAAAAAAAAACATTTCCTGTTCTCTTTTTACTAAAGTCAAAACACCATTACCCCAAGTATATATTTAAAATTTAACGTTTACATAAAAATGCTTTTATTAAATTATCTCTCTTATCCTCTATTCCTAAAAATAGAAAAACAATGTATTATATACATATGTTATATACAACAATGTATTATATACAATGTATTAAATACAATGTATTACATACGATGTATTACTTGTTTTTAAATGTTTCAAGCAAACTTTATGGCAGTTTTATAGACAATAAAAATTTAAAACACTTATGTCAAAACTAGTTGACGCAAAACTAAAAGGAAGGAAATAAATATTGTTTCTAAACTTTTATTTTATTCTATCATTTTACTTCATTTTTTAATAAAATGAAGCGTTTCAAGGCAAATTTTGGCAGCAAAATAATGGTATACTTAAACATTTGCGTAATAAGTAGCTTATTAGTAGTATTAAATTTGAAAGGTAAATTTTGGAATACTTCTTACATGAAGTGCGAATACTCTATTTCTTGATAAATTAATAGCATGCAATGCCAATTTTGATAATAATAATATTTAAAAATACTGTTATCATAACAAACTAGTGCAATAGTTTGTAATTTATAAAGCATATAATAAAATGCTACCCTAAAAAATAAGATGTATAAAGATTTGGTGGAAATAAATATAGTTATGAAACACTCTTGGAGGAATTTAATGAAAAGAAACTATGTGATTCCAGAGTTAAATAAGAAATAAATCTCATTTAATTCTCCCGTGAAATCATTTATTTTTTTTACATCTTCCTCACAACGCTCCAAGTAAGAGATGGAAAAAAATCGAAATCTTCCCGAAGGAACTGGATTACGAATCATAGTCCAGGATAACAATAATAATAATATCGGGAGGGGAAAATAAAATACATAAAAAAAGAACAAAGTCGGGGAGAAAACTTCTTATTTTTGGTTGAAGCTGAGTTGTACTTAAGCCAGTTTTATGCTGTCTTCATCTTCTCTAGACGGACTATTCCAGCTTTTCCTTTTTTTTTTCCTATTTTAAGGGAAATGTTTTTATTTCTCCTCATCGTAGTTTACTCCTCCCTCTGACATGATGAGTCTCTTTTGCAACGCTATTGTTAACGCTGTTCACTGTCCATTATGACGTTTTCTGACAGATATGTGGGGAATATCTCCATATTGCAATTTGATGCAAAAAATATATATAAGAACAAAAATATTTATTCGAAGCAAAAAAGTATAAATCGAAAAATGTCAAAATCTTAGTATGTTTAAAGATTCCAAATAAAGATATGAGAACAAAAACGAAATTACGAGTCCGAAATGTTATTTTTGCATTATAGTTTAGAAAAGAAAATTTTCAAAAAAAATAAAAAAAAACTCAAAGTTGATAATATTTTTCAAAGTTAAAAATAAGTCTATCTAAAAGTTATAAGACGAAAAATTAGTTCAGGTATTAAACTTAAAGTGCACGAAAACTGATTTTTCAGCATTTCGGATAAGACAGTCTAGACTCATTATTGTACTTTTACTCATGTATGCAGAGGTCTTTTTTTTTTCAAAGCTACACTGTAAGAAATCCAGATCAAATTACGGTAAAAAATATACCCGCACTCAGATTTTGAGGCAAGAAGTACGGGCACTCATATAAAAAATCCATTTTTACCATCCAATCCATTGTTATTGAACAAAAAACCTGATATACCGTAATTTTCTCAGTAATAATTCACTGCATTATTACTGTAAAACACTGAAATCACTAAATCACTCACTGAAGCACTCTTATTAAATAAATATTATTGTAAAAATTGAGGTTTAATATTTTGCTTTCAAAATTGGCTTTACGGTAAAATGGATTTTACGGATGTTGCACCCACAGTACCGGTAATTTTTCACAATATATAACATACCCAGAATGTTCCTCAAAACCCACCCTTAATGTGTATTTTCAGAATGCTTATTAAAATTGAAAACAAAAAGGAAAATATAAATGTTTAAGAGAAAAAAAACGCTACCGTAATTTTTTCAAATTACAGAAGAGAAATTAATGCGCTAAATATCAAAACAGGTTTAATTAAAGATTAGGACAGGTTTAGTTAGAGATTGATTTAGTTTTTTTACTAGCCATATACTAACGTAACTCATCTCTGTTTTCTCCCTAAATTAAGGCTATGTGTTGATGATCACTACATCCGCTTTTCTTTAATTTACACTATGATTTATAGCATTTTCGGTTTTTTACTCGCTTGAATATTAATTTGTTGCCTACTTTCTTCGCTTTCCTTTTCAATAACGATTCTAAAACTGCATATTAAGGGTAGTTTTAGCTAAACACCTTGAAATTAATTTTTTAAATGTTTGACATCTGATGCATAGTTTTTATTTAAATCTGGTGACATGCAGTTTTGAAAAAAGTGGCAAAACTAATTTGATTGTGTTGGGAAATTAAAAAGAAGTTCTAAAAATTGCTTTTCACGTCCTTTCAATTTTATTTTACTCTTACAACTGCGCCTGATAACGATTATTTAAATTTTGATGAATTTTTTATTTTCCATTTGTTAAATATCGTCAAAGTTTTCAACCATGTGTTACATTTTAAAAAGGTGAAAATTATATGTTACGTCAGTTCACGTACGTTAAGTGTATAATTAAGGAAAATGACCTGGCAAATTATTTATCTTTCTGGTAAATGATTTATGTTTCTACTTAAATTAATCTTATTTTAATTAACTTAGAAGCTCTGAATTCCTGTTCACTCCGCTCACAAACCCTGGTTGTTATTTCTCGTTTATCATTGTTTTACTCTTACAATTTGATTAAAAAAATCTTTGCGTTCATGAAAATATAGGTATTATAATCTTTTATGAGAGCACATTTTATTAACGCGTTAATCACAAGAAATAAAGGTACATCTGGATTTCAAAAATAATCAATTCAACTCGAAAAAAAATTTAACTTAGAAGAGCAGATTGTACAACACAATAAAAATTAATGAATGGGAAGTAACTTTACTAGATAGCAAAATATTACGATAACCTTATATCACACAGCAGTTCGCATCTCTGTTCGCAAATTTTATCTCTGTCCCGTCTTAATGAGCCTAAAAATTTCAATAAAAATATTAAGACTTATGTATCTCTCTTATATTTCTGTTATACATTTTTTTCTGTTGTTACTTTTACCATCAAGTCAAGCGTGAGAATCGCAAGAGAGATTAATTTTTCGATAACAATGAAAAAGATGTTAAGCTTCTATACAGCAATGTTTAGAAAAAAAAAGTCAAAAAATTACTTACAACATCAAAAAAAAAATTGGAATTTCAAAAAAGACTTTCATTAGTTTCATAATTCAAAGTGGTCGTTCTAGCACCAGAAATTTAAACTCCGTAGTTGCATTTCAGCTGACAGCAGATTGACCAGCATGCTTTTTACTGCAATTTTAACATCAGATAATTCTTAAACTAGTAACCAAATCTTTTTTTTTTCATTTCAATGAGCTCTTTGTGCATTTTTCTACACACCTTAGCAATATCAAGTTATTAAATCTAATAATTTTATGAGCTACAAAATAAAATTTAGAGAAAATCAAAAACAAGAAAAAAAATTTAAAAAAAAGGCATTTAAAATTGCAAACTTTCGAACAAACTAGAATTTCAAAAAAAAAAGAGCTTGCATTAAGTTTATCAACAAAAATGGGTCTGTATAAATTTCTACTCTGTAGTTAAATTAGAGGCCCATATATTTTATTTCTACAAGTTTAACAGTTGATTCAAGTTTAATTCTTGAATGTAATTTTTTTTATTCCACCACACTCCGAACACATATTTTACAACCCTTCGTAGTTTAAAGTTCCTAAGTGTAATAGTTTTTGTAGCGTTAAGAAATAGTAGCGTTAAACTTAATACCTTTTATAGGGCTAAGTTTAACACCCAATACAGCACTTACCCTTTAGGATGATTTTTTTTAATAATATAGTGAGATAATAACGGACGTTTTTTGTTACATATAATTAACAAGTAACCCAAGGATTTTATCGTTTGAAAAATTTTCCAAGAAAATTTTTCAGTGACAGTTTTTTTTTTTCAATAAAA